TTTTTTTTTTTTTTTTTTTTGAGGCTTCTCTGTATAATAGCCCTGGCTGTCCTGAAACTTGCTCTGCAGACCAGGCTGGCCTTGTACTCACAGAGATCTGCCTGCCTATGCCTCCTGAGTGCTGGGACTAAAGACGTGCACCACCCAGAAACTCTCTAATCCTTAGTATTTCCCAGTGAAACTATTTAGGCTTGGACCTTTCTTTCATGAGAGTGTTAAATATAAAATCGGTTTTATTTTTTATAGTTTATTTATTTATATATTTCTGTGTATGCAGGTCACCACACTTGCATGTGTGTGGGGGGGGGTCAGAGGACAACTTGTGGGACTCAGTTCTCACCTTTCGCTTCTGTGGGTCCCGGGATCAAACTCACAGCATCAAGCTTGGTATCCAGTACCTTTGCCCACTAAGAAGCCATCTTGCTAGCCTTTGATCTGAGTCTTTTTTTTTTTCCCTAGATAGAGTTTCTTTGGCTGTCCTGGGATTCACTTTGTAGACCAGGCTGGCCTTGAACTCAGAAATCTGCCTGCCTCTGCCTCCCAAGTACTGGGATTAAAGGTGTACATCACCAATGCCTGACTCTTATTTTATTTTTTTAACATTTTTATTTTATTTTTATAACATTTACACTTTTTACTATTGTTATTATGATTGTATGTGTATATAATGTATACATGTGGGTACACAAGCCTTAGCATGCATGTAGGTCAGAGCACAACTTCATGGAGTTGCTTCTGAATTTGTTTTCCAGAACCCAAGTTTAAAAAGAAAATAAAAATTGACCTGAAAGCCTCCTTCCTGAGAACTAAATTTCATGGTACCTGAAGGCACCATGGAAGCTTTCTAAAGAGGGTCTACCCAGCTCTGACACCTTTGAACCAGAACAATGACCAGCATGGCACAATATCCCTAAGGTGCAGCAGCGGCACAAACACCTTGGCAGTAACCACCGGCTCTCAAGTTAGACTAACAGCCTACTCAACCAGAGGGAAATCATGCCGGGTGCTAGAGACCTAGCCAACGACCCCGGCTAGGGAAGCCATGGATCGTGGAGGAGAACCTACGACCACTATCTTCCTAAACTATCA